TTTATTTTGTGTTTTGGTTTCGTTTGTGCGCGACAGTCGTCCGCGAGGGGCTGTCGCGCTATTTTGTGTTTGTTTATTTTATTATTAAAGTTTGTTTAAATGTCCGCCGGTTCCCGTCTCCTTCTTCCCGAACTACAAACGTTGCTACATTGGTGCCGAAACCTGGGAGGAAGGAGGGACACGCTGCCAGAGATCCCTCGCCGCTGTGGTGAGTCCGCGGTGCCATCGAGCATGGCGGAGCAGTCTGCCGCCATGGACGCTCGAGGCGGTGGGCTGGAGTGAGTTGCCGGGGGGGCGGACGAACTCGCTGCCGGCCGCCTGGGATGTGGAGGGACGACTGCCGTCCGTGAGGGAGCGGAGGAGTCGCCGCCGTTCACCTGAGGCCGGAGCCTGCTGCCATCCGCCATGATGGGGAGGAGCAGGGAACGGGGGACTCCTGCCGGCTGCCACCGGCCTCGCTCCGTTCCCACGGCTCTCGGCCCCGCCCCTCTCGTCACAAGTTTGTTTATGATTAATTGAATTAAACCTTTAAGCATAAAAAAAGCTGAATAGGCCATCACTCACTCACTCCCACACACAAACACGCACACAAAAACACAAACAAACAAATAGTGAACATCCTGTAATAGGTTATCTTTAGGTTATTCAAATTTAATTTGAGGGGAATATTCTGTATTTTCTGTCTTCTGTGAAAATATTACCAGTTTACCCTTGTTCAAAAAATTTGCTTCCATCCCTGTACCTCGTTGCAGTTTGTATCCCTTTTGTAATGCTTGTTTTGTTCCTTTTTATATTAGCTTTTCCAATATTACATATTAAGGAAATATTAATAAAGTTCTTCAGATATGGCATACTATCGTGCTGAGTGGTATCGTTGTTTGCTTTGGTTTTTGAACACTGCTTGCATTGATGCTTGCCTTTAGAAAATACTTTGCAAGGCCTTTTAGTCCAGAGCTACATAAAAGTTTGACTGAAATGTTTAGTCTAAAAGATCAGTTTTTTGGTGCACAGTCAGTGGTAAGTACTAAAAGATATATATATATTTTTTTTTTTTGGTTTCCAGCCTAGAGATGAACATTACTAGTTAGGTCTGGTATTGCTTATCGTGTCCATCTAGTAGATTTGGGTGCTTTCTTTTTACTCTCACCTTTCTTCAAGCCATCTCTTCAATGTTAAGTAGCTCATTTACTCCTGCCACAAACAGCTCACATTGATTTATTCTATATTTGTGTCTCTATAGGCCGTGGAGACTAACCTGGCCTCTAAAGACAGTCACTGGGTGTTTGTGAATGAGGTAAGTAACAATCTTATTTATGTTCATCTGCTTTCTTCTATTAACTGCACTCTCTTTCAGTCTTAACTTTTTATTTTATTAGTTTGCATGCAGTAAAATATTATTTCTGCTCATGGCAGCCTGAAATTTACTAAAATATGCAAACATTCAGTGGGAATTACGTAAATCATGCACCCACAAAAATCTGTGTCGAACGAAATTTGCATGAAACAATTCCCAATCTCTACAGTTGGTTCTGAGTACTAGATTGTAACAGTTTCAACAGTTGCGAGTTTTACCGTTAACGGGTTCTGGCAGGCTTAATATGTATTTGTACTTGACACCTTTCAGCAGCTTAACAAAACAAAAGGAAAAAAAAAAAATTCCATATCAGCATGTACTAGAGAAACTAAACAATATCAAGCCAATCAACACAATAAACAAAGAACAATTCAGCCTGTAAGGCAAGTGAAGCGGTGGTGGATAAATCCTAATAATCCATAGCCACACACACAAAATGACAGTCCAAAAAAAAAGGTAAAAGAAGAAAAGATAAAGTTGACCACCAACAGTCTCACTCGTGTGCACTACTCTGGGATACTGGATTCCACAAAAGCGCAAAAAGTAATCCACATGAGATCCTAAAAAGTGTAAACAACATAATTCTCTGGAAACAGGCTGCAAATTACAGGTAGTCATGTGGCAAAGGTTGCCTATAGTCCCATGTTTTGCCACATGAGAGAGTGTGCCACATCGTGAGGTAGCCACTACACAATGGCCACTCCCTGCCTTATATCAGCAGGTGGATTTACACAATAAAAGTAATGCATGCTGAAGTTGAAACAATCAACCAAATCGGTTGCGTTATAAAAGTTAGAGTGGTTCAGAACAGTGTATTTTACAATCTTCACATGAAACTTTAAAACAACACTATCATACCAGGTAAACTCTGGCTGTTAAAAACATATGAGTCCAATGCACAGTACCCTAAAACAGTCCATAAGAATCCTAGTGAGTGTTGAGAAGTCCCAATGTGAAAGTGTCCACCAGTGTATATACTGTACAATCCAATAAAGTGATGATCAAAGTCTTTGAAGTTGTGTCTGGAGAAAGGCAAGTCCACAAAATGGTAACTCCACAATCCAGATTAGTGGTTGTTGTATTTAGTGTTTTTCCATTATTTCTATTTCTTCTTCTTCCTCATTTTTATAGGAAAATCACACTAATCAATTCATTACTGCCATCTACTGATAACTTGGATCAGAGACTTTTGCTCCCTCTTTATCCCTCCTCTTTCCCCTCCATATCAGAACCAAAAGCTCAACCAGTGATGCGTGTTCAGCTCCTCTGGTTTAACTTCCAGCACCATATAGCTTAGGGAACGTCTCGGTTACGTATGGTAACCCTCGTTCCCTGTAGGAGGGAACGGAGACGTCACGTCGGATGACCGACGAATTGGGATCTCGCTTAGAGAGACCAATCCACTTCGAGTGTAAACTAAACGAGCCAATGCACATTGGCATGCGATTATTGCATCCAGCTGC